GTGGCGTTCGTAACGGGAAAAACCTTAAACTATTGATTTCCCTAATGAAAGTCGTCTGCTATTTTTGAAAAGTATATTATAAAATCACATAATTCCATATTTTTGAAAAATTAAGTAATTGAATAAATAGTAAATGTTAAATATGAAATATTATTTGTATTTAAAAAAGTCATTTACAAATTAATTAATTTTATTAATTTTAATGTAGTTCTTTAAAAATTCACTAACTTTAAACTTCTTTTTAATACATATTCTTTAACAATCAATTCTTGTTTTTATAGTACGACGAAAATGTTTTTAATCATATTTAAGTAAAATTCAATAATTTAAAACATTTTAAAAACTCTTCAAATTGTCATAAAGCACACCAGTTTACAGTGAAATTGCCAATCGTACGAAACATTTTTTTGTTATTAATAAGTGCTTTTTAAGTAAGAAAAACATATTTTTTTCCTTCGTGCAATTTTGCTGAATCTAAAAAAACACATTTTCGAGGTGTGACGTTACTTAAGGCCAGGTCCTAGTGAGGCTGCGCCATCTACATTAAAACTATAATTTTAGAAAATTTTCAACAGCCTTTTCTCGAAAAAGAAGAAGGTAAAATGCGTTTTTCTTTATGGATAATTGATTATTAGCAAGAAATACAATAGCTCAAACTTTTTTTGGGTTAAAATGATGAAAAAAATTTCATGTCGATAAATTAAATATGAGCAGTTTTTTCACAAAAACTGTAACAGTACTTTCTCGGAATTAACAATCAAGAATACAATTTCCATTTGGAAAATTAATAAACGTTAAACAATACACCAGCTAAGATTCACCAATCACAAAAATAATAACAAAAAATTTTATTACATATTTAACATATGGACACTTTTTTACTGATTATATGACAGCCCTTTGGTAGATTATTGGTAGATTATGTATTTCAGGTGGTTAGCAACAGCGCCAATCTCCTCCGTTCGACAAAATCGCGAAACGTCTGGTGACATATATAACCTGCCCAACGGCTGTCATAATTAGTAAAATATGTTATGTTAAAAAAATTTTTTTTTTATTTTCGTGATTAGTAAATCTTAGCTGGTGTATTTTTTAGCGTTTATTAATTTTCAAAATGGAAATTGCATTTTTGATTGTAATTTCTGAGAAAGTACTGTTACAGTTTTTGTGAAAAAAGTGCTCATATTTAATTTATTGACATGAAATTTTTTTCTTTATTTAAGAATGAATTTTTAAAGAACTACATTAAAATTAATAAAATTAATTAATTTGTAAATGACTTTTTTAAATACAAATAATATTTCATATTTAACATTTACTATTTATTCAATTACTTAATTTTTCAAAAATATGGAATTATGTGATTTTATAATATACTTTTCAAAAATAGCAGACGACTTTCATTAGGGAAATCAATAGTTTAAGGTTTTTCCCGTTACGAACGCCACCTCCGACTATTCTAATTTTCCGGAATGCTTTTACCAGATTTGGGGACATTTTTCCTTCAAAGTGAAAACTCCTTATTCTTATTTCGTGCTTTTCCCCAAGAAAATATAATTTATTACATAAAATTTTAGTTTCTTGATACTAATAAGAAAATAATATAAAACAATGCTTTTTTTTAGAACTTACCTTCTTCTCATTAGCAGCATGATTAATTGAATTTTCTGCTGAACAGAAAGAATTTATTTGAATGAGAATGAAAAGAAAGAGTATCCCTTCCTTAAGGATTTTCATATTTTTAATAGATTGAGACTGTAACCAAATTTTATTTTCGTTAACTAAAAATATAAAAAAATTAGAAATTTATCACTAAATTATACGCAGACCAAAATCCAAGAGATTCCGATGTGATGGAAGTTGTGCACAAATATGAAAAAGGCGGAATACTCGTCGGTAATCTCAATATGTTTGATTAGAAAAAGGCATTGACAGAATATCCTATCCTCCTCACTCTGATAAATTTAATAAAAAGAAGTAAACAACACATAAATTAAAAAACACTATGATCCAAAACACATAAATAAATTTAAATCCAATTAATTATATAATATCTAGTGATTTCTCGGCGAGATACGTAGTGTGGCAAAACAAGACCGCCAAATCACATGCGATTAAATGGAATAAGTGGTGATTTCCCAAAATCCGAGTGATTCGGAGGAAATTCCCACCAAACTCTTGTGACGTACTAGATACAAAAGTAAAAAATTTTAATTTTCTTTATTTTGCAAATTTAAAACTCTTCGTCATTTTTGGAGAAAAAAAATAGCAAAAAATTGTGACAAATTACATCTAAAAGCATATTTTCTCATCTTTAAAATGCTTTTTGAAAATTTTTATACGATAATTTTCGACCATAAATAAAATCATAAATATTAAAAACAAAATCAATCAATATTGTCAAGCCCATAAAATATAATATTAAAATTGTGAAACAGTGTTGCTTAAATTTATTTTCATATAATCATTATTTATTATTTTTAGATTTAGAATTTATAATTCAAAATAAATAAATGTCATTTTTAAACTAAATAATTTCTTTATTATAAAGATTATCATTTAATACAATTTCGCTCCACACGTACTGATATAAATTCAGTGTTTTTTTTTTGTAAATATTTATCTCTGAATGAACAGATACTTTTAAAAAAAAATTTTTTTTTTGGTCATTTTCACTTTCTGAGTTAAAAATTTGTCAATTATTATAACATTCATAACACTTAAATAATACTATTCGAATTTAACACTTCATCGCATATTACAAATATAATAAAAGTATAACAAATTTATTATTAATGAAAATAAATTTACTGAAAAAAAACAACAATTCGTAACATTCTCTCAGTATATTTTTGGTTTTTTTTAATATATAAACATTCGGTATATATTTTTTAAAATTAATAATTTGTCTTAATTTATTTATGTACAAATTTTTAAACATAAATAAGATTAAAATATCTTTAAGAAAAAAAAAAAATAATAAATGAAATGCAATATTTAAAATCATAAAACAAATTGTAAAAATCATCAATTAACACAAAAATCAACACATTAAGTTTTGTAAAATTATTTTTTAAGTAAACTTTTTGTTATCCTACTTTTGCAAATTAAGTTTATATTTGGTATTTATTCTCCAAGAAATAAGATTATAAAAAACTTGAGAATAAAAATGAAGAAATTTCACGAGCCTTCACTATCTCGTTTTAAATGTTCTTTATAATTTTCTATTTTACATTATTTTTACAAATTAATGGAAAAATATGAGATTCAGGGGCGTTCTAATGTTTATATTATATATATTAATAGATGTTTGAACACACGCCTGTGACTTTTATTATAGCCCTGATATTATTCTTTGGCTATAACGTGTAAAAAAAAAGAAAAAAAATTACCACAATATAGGATATATAAAATTGACAAACCGCTTTAATTAAAATCTTGACTAAATTAAAAATTTAAACATATTAAATAATCTACTTAAATTTTAATAGTCTTGAATAGTTCTATAATTATCTATTTACAATTTGTATCTATATTTTCATTTAAAACTTTAGGAGTGCTAAAAGAAATTATTGTGTATAAAATTTATCTATGAAGTATATTGGCATCTTTAATGGTCTTCGAAATAAAAAAATTACTTCCAAATTTGGAAGAAATTACTTTTTTTTTATCACATATTTGTTGAAAAATTATTAACTTTGACGTATAAGATTATTTAGCGTGTGAAACAAATTATCGTAATTAGCATTTATTTAGCAATTATGTAAAAAAAAAAAAAAATTTCCATGAAAAACGGAATTTTTTCGATTGTATAAACTTTTAACAAAATATTGCCGCACATGTTAAATATCTTAAGCGTCAATTAATATATTGGACGGCAGTACTAATTAGAATCTGATGAATTGTCCTCATGTTTTGTTAAGTACGCACGTTCAGCAACCTTTGACAATTGATCAAACATTCCTCGTCCTGTTTCTCTAACTAAAGAAGTAAATTGTCCATATTGGTTTTGAAGAAGAATGTGCGGATGATCGAATTCCTGAAATAATTGAAAAAAATTTTAATTTTTAATTAATTTAATTTTAATTTGAAAAAAAACGGTGAATTTTACGATTATGATCAACGATTAAGAAAATAATAATTTTTTTTTGCAAATTTTTCTTTTGAAAATTTATCGATCCCATAAAAATTATTAATTAGAATTTTCATTTTAAAGAATATTATTAGAAATAATTATTTTTTAGACGAATTTTCATTTTTTAAATTAAAATTTGACAGAATTTTTCATTTTATACGAATTTTTAAATTAACATAATTTTTAGCTACCAAATTTTTGTTTTGCGAAATTTTTATTTTACACTCATTTTCTTTACATGACATTTTATTTAAATGAATAATAATTTAATTGAATTTTAATTAAACAGAATTCTCATTCAATCAAATTTTATATGATTCAAATTTTTAAATGTCAGAATTTCCTATTCACCAAATATTAATTTGTATAAATTTTTATTTATATGAATTTTTAGTTGGTAGAATTTTTAAGACATCGAATTTTTATTTGTCCGGAATTGAAAATGGCCAAATAAACAATTGTCAGAAAGATATTGGCGCAATTTTTAAAATTGATCAATTAAAAATTATCAAGAATTAAAAAAAAAAATATCTTTCTGTCGATTGTTTATTCGGCTATTTGCAATTTCGGACAAATGAAAATTCGACTTCTTAAGAATTCTATCAATAAAAAATTCGTACAAATAAAAGTTCGGATAAATTAAAATTCGGTGAATTGGAATTTCTTTCATTTAAAAATTATCAAGTCACATAAAATACGATTGAATGTAAATTCTGCTAAATTAAAATTATTTTAAATATACCTATAAAGTTTGGAATAATCATGCGCCCACAAAAAATTATAATAATTTTTATTGAAAAATATTTTTTTTTTCCTAAATCGTTAATCATAAATATTGTCAACTTCATCAATGTGGAAAAAAATTAATTAATCAGTGTAATTAATAGGAATGTGTAAATTTTTTTTGTAATTTGAAAATTTTGGGGCGATACGAATTCAACACAAATATACTCTACACAAGAAAATACTGCACCGCTAACTGTACACGTGTCAATTGCTGTCAACAAAATTAAATAAAAATATATTCTTCACAATTAAATACTACATCGAAAAACCCTACACAATAAATTATTTACTAGAAAATTATCTTCATAAACTCAACACAAATAAACTCAACACATTAAGATTTAGAATTAGAAAAATGAAAAAAAATTTTTTTATAATTCTACACAAATAAATACTACATCAGTAAATTTTACACAGCTATAAAAAATAAAAAATTAAATTCGACACAAAAGGAAAGATTATTTTCATGTGTTGAATTTAATTGTGTCGAATTTAATTTTTTATTTTTTATAGCTGTGTAGAATCTACTAATGTAATATTTATTTGTGTAGAATTATAAAAAAAATATTTTTATTTTTCTAATTCTAAATCTTAATGTGTAGAGATTATGGAGATAATTTTCTAGTTAATAGTTTATTGTGTAGGGTTTTTCGATGTAGTATTTAATGGTGTAGAATATATTTTTATTTTATTTTATTGAGAATTTACTCGTGTACAGTTAGCGGTGGAATATTTTCTTGTGTAAAGTTTTCTCGTTTTAAATTTAATTATTTTCATTTAATATGTTGAATTTTGAATGTGTACAGTTTATTTGTGTAGGATTAAAATATTTTTATTTGATGTGTAGAATTTATAAATGTTGAGTTTAATTGTGTAGAATTTTATAAATAATCGGAAATAAAGAAAATATTATTTTCATGTGTAAAATTTAATTGTGTCGAATTTAATTTTTTATTTTTTATAGCTGTGTAAAATTTACTGATGTAGTATTTATTTGTGTAGAATTCGTACCGCCCCGAAAATTTTTTGAATAATCTTACCGCCATTCGTCCTCTGTCCATGACTAAAACTTTGTCACTGTCCATAATTGTATTCAATCGATGAGCAACAGTGAGTACAGTGCAAGCAGCGAATTTACTTCTTATGGTTCTTTGAATCAGAGCATCCGTTTTTGGATCCACATTTGCTGTGGCTTCGTCCAACATTAGAATCCGATTGTTCCTCAAAATTGCTCTCGCGAGGCAAATCAACTGGCGTTGTCCAACACTGAAATTACTTCCTCTGTCGGACACTCGACTGTCCAATCCATTGACGGCTGCAATCGCTTCTTTTAGTTCCACCTGTTTGGCATTTATGAAAATTATTTACATTTTCCACGAGAAAATTAATTTACAGTTTAAAATTTCAAAGTCCAATCCTCTATTTAGAACTGTCGATTTAAAAATAAGGAAATCACCTCTTCGAGAACCTCCCACAGTAGTCTGTCGGGAAATTCGTTAAAGGGATCCAAATTTCTTCTGATTGTTCCAGAGAATAGAACAGGATCCTGTGGAATGATGGAAATTAGACGTCGAAGATCTTCCAGACAGACGGTTCCCGTGTCTATATTGTCGATTTCAATGACTCCATCGATTTTGGCGAGACGAAAGAGAGCTGCGATTAAGGATGATTTTCCAGCACCTGTTCTCCCAACTATTCCAACCTAAAAAATAGTATAAAAAATTTTTTTAGTTAGAATAATACATTTTCAAACTAAATCATATACCCTGGAAAAAATTTCAAATCTTAAGCCGCATTCTTTCGACGATTTCTATTGTAATTTATTCAGAGTAACTTACTGAACATTTTCCAGCCGCGAACTAACAGAATTTCTATTAAATTGATTTTTTATATAACTGAAAATTCACTTCGCATAATTTCTATTTGTTCGAATTTTCATTTGACAGAAATTTTATTAGTTTGAATAAACATTTAAAAAAAAATAATTTCAAAACGAATTTTAAAAATTAACTAATTAAAATTTTTTCGATAATTTCTAGGTATCGATTGTATAATTTGATTTCACGTCAAAGACAAATTAAAATCGCTAAATTTATTTTTTAATTGCAATACGTCAAATTTCTATCAGAAAATAAATTTGAATTTAACATCGAAGTTAAATAAAAAATGAATTAAATTTGACTTTAACGTTGAAATGAATTTGATTTTGACGAAAATGTTTCTGTTAAATGTTTAATCAAACAAATGAAAGTTCTGACTAATAAAAATTCAATCAAATAGAAATTTTGTTAAATAAATTTTTTGGTTTAGTAGAAATTTTGTAATATGAAATATCGGTTATATGAAAATTTTGTCAGTAATTAGAACAAATTAATTTTAGACATTATTCATGCGTCTCGATTTTTCTGTCTTAAATTTGAAAATTAAAAAATGTCTCAGATGTCCATGATACCGTGATATGATCGAGAAAAAGAAATTTATAATTTAAACATAGGATATTAATCTCAATGAACAAAAAATTAAAAAAAATCGATTGTACAATAATAGTAATTCACCTTTTCAGTTGGATAAATGACAATATTGAGTCCTTTCAAAACAGGAGGATCGTATTCCGAATATCTCAAGTACATATTTCGGAATCTAATATAACCTTTAGTGGGCCAATTTCTCGGTGGCGTGACAAAAGACTCAATCATACTTTGTTTTCGTTTTTTCTTTGACATTACTCCTTTGTCACGTAAATTAGGTTCTGGTGGAAGTTCAGCATATTCTAAAACTCTTTCGACAGACATTAATTGATTTGCCACTTCTGCACTTTGTCGCATTCCCCATTGAATCATTCCCGTCATTGACATCACTTGTGTAATTGCCAAACCCACTTTTCCTCCATTTTCTGCCGATGCTGGAAAAAAAAAGAATTTCTTTAAATCTCTCTTTTTTTGTAAAGAATACTATATTTATCGTGTATATGGGCGATTCCACGTGAGATTTACCTATGACCTTTTAAATTCGTCTAAATATATTTTTTTCTTATTCTTTGTAGAAAAAAAAGGTTTACGTATTTTTTTATTTTTTTAATAAGTACTCAAATTTTCGAGTTATGAATTTTTCAAAATCTGATATTTTCAAGTTTTTTTGAAATATACCTAACTTCACTGACATGTAACTCTAAAAGTATTAAATTTAGAAATTATAACCAAGATACAAAAAAGTTTCAGTTTTTTATCGACTTTCAAATTATGTTAACGAAAAAACAAATTTTGAATTCGTTTTTTAAAAAACAGCAATTTTTTATAAACAAATTAAATTTTTTTAAATTTAGGCGCGATTTTTTTTTTATTTCTACACACATGAAAATAAGAAGAAAATTTTGCAATAAGTTTTGGAGTAGGGCTGATGATCCTTTTGTTTATATAATTTGTTTTAAAAAAAAATTTTACTTTTTTTTTCTTTTTTTTTATTTTTTAAAATAAAATGTATTTTAATTTGCTTTTCTATGAGTTTACTAGTAGATCCTAGTGTCAAAAACACTTTTCATTTTGAAAAATAAATAAAAAAAAATCGCGCCTAAATTTAAAAAAATTTAATTTGTTTATAAAAAATTGCTGTTTTTTAAAAAACAAATTCAAAATTTGTTTTTTCGTTAACATAATTTGAAAGTCGATAAAAAACTGAAACTTTTTTGTATCTTGGTAATAATTCCTAAATTTAATACTTTTAGAGTTACATGCCAGTGAAGTTAGGTATATTTCAAAAAAACTTGAAAATATCAGATTTTGAAAAATTCATAACTCGAAAATTTGAGCACTTATTAAAAAAATAAAAAAACACGTAAACCTTTTTTTTCTACAAAGAATAAGAAAAAAATATATTTAGACGAATTTAAAAGGTCATAGGTCATAGGAATCGCCTATATATTTATATATATACTTACAATCACTGGTAATGAGAAAACTAAACGTCACCAGAGTTGTAAAAATAAAAGTAAAAATATCCAATGAAAATCCAAAAGCAGAACTTGTCACGATGAACATAAACCACGAAGAGGTATGCAAATCTTGGAATTTGTCGAATTCATGTTTGAGAATTTCTTGAGCTCCAAATGCTCGGATTGTCGTCAGTCCATTGAGGGTTGCGTTGAGATGTGTAAATACCGGTGAACGTGCTATTTTAAAAAAAATCACTACGTTACAAATTTTTTTTTTTAATTTTCAAAAGAAAAGAATTTATCGGATGTTCAAAACATTCAAATAAATTTGAAAATATAATTCTAGAATTAAATTTAAAAGCAACATTATGATTAATTTATTAAATTGTTATTTTTTAATTTCAAATAATTTGATTAAATTTAAAATGACAATATAATAAATATGAAAAAATACCAATTTTTAAAAAAGTAGCTTTTAGTTGTACAAAGATGAAAAAAGTAGTGACATAGTACCAAACTATAAAAAAAAAGTAGAAAATAGTTTAATAAATAAATGTGAAGCTTGTGAAAATAATAAACTTACTCATTCCTTCCAGGCGCTTGACATTTTTGCTTGTCTTGAGATAAACTTTTCGAATCCAATAAAATACAGCACCAAGAAGAACAATTGGAATAATATAGTAATAGTTGACTGTACAAGTGACAATCAATGTTCCCATCATCATCATAATTATTTGTCCAGCATCCAAGAGAGCTTTTGGCAATAATTCATCTATTGCTCCCATGTCTTTTGAAAATCTATTAAGAATTCGACCACTTGGATTTGTATCGAAAAATCGCATTCCCGTTCTAATCAGCGCACTAAATACCATGTCGTGTAAACTTTGACTCGCTCTCATACATAAAGCATAAAATGCAAAAGATCTTGTAATTCCAATTAAAAATATTGATGTAACTATTCCAATATATACGTAAATATAAACTTCCTGTGACCATGGTTGAACTTTAAAAAGTCCCTCGTCCGTTTGATTTCGTGTTATATTTGCAGCTTCATATAATTTTGCTTCCTCTGCTGTTACACTAAAAAATATTAATTTAGGTATATTAAAATATTCAGGTTCGTTGTATATTATTTAAAAAAAATATATAAAATTAATATATTATGAATATTCAGAAAAATATTTTCAAAAGTTTCTCTATTTTTTTCAGACTTACAGAAAAGGAACATAAAGATCATTTAAACTGGCAGCAAATTGAGTTACGATGAATAAAATAAAGACGATAAAACCGAAAAATAAATTAGCTCCAGCTCTGAAATAATTGAGGAAAATTGAACCCTTTACAGTTCCTCTTGATGTTCCTTCTACCAGTCCGTCTATATTTTCGGGATCTTGTTCATCTTCTTCAATATCAGTATCACCACCAGCTTCTGGTGTTTTACTCTGAAAAAACAATGAATTTTCACTAAATAAATCTCAAGATTATTATTTGTGCGCTAATTTTAAAATTAACAAATAAACATTTATCAACACGAAATTAAAATTGGTTAATTTTAAAATTTACGCCCAAATTTTTCTGCTAGATATTTATTTGCGGGCAAATGAAAGTTTTGTAAAATAAAAAATCAGAGTTTTAAAAAAATTCAAATGAATGAAAATTTGTCTAGAAAAAGAATATTCTTTCTGTAAAATAAAAATTCCTTTAAATCGACTATTCTATATCTAATGAAAATTCGAGCAAATAATAATTCTATCAAATTCAATGAAATAAAAAGACAAAAATAAAAATTCTTGTAACAATAATTCTGTAATATAGAAATTCTGTTAAATAATAATTCGAAGAAATAAAAATTTGTCCGAAAATAAATTCTAGATAGTCAAAATTCAGTCGAATGAAAATTCTAACAAATTAATTTTAAAGCTCATTAATGCGTTTCCTTTTTTTTAAAATGAGTTGATAAATAAATGTTTGCAATGGGTTTTGTATGAAAAGTTCCAACTTGAGAGGCAAACCCTTCTCTTAATATAATAATAAACTTACTCTATTACTCGAGGTAGAAAATTGTCTTCGCATTGTACTTCTTTCCATAAATGAATCCTCAGTATTCTCAGGATTACTTTCCGCCGCAATGAGAGGCATATATTCAGGATGACTTTGCAGAAGCTGCTGATAATTTTTATAAAATTGCATCTTTCCTTGATCGAGAAGAATAATTGCATCGACTCCTTTAATATACTGAAGCTGATGCGTTGCGAGAATTCGAGTCTTACCGGACAAATAGTGTTTCATACACTCTTCAAATAAATGCTTCCCCACGTGAGCGTCCACCTAATTAACATTCCAAAATTATTTCCAAATTGCGTTTTTATTTCTAAACGTGAAAATACATTTGAACGTAACTATTATTTTCTAATAGTGGAAGAAATGGTAAGGAATGAGAATTACCGCACTGAGAGGATCGTCGAAGAGGTAAATGTCGGCCTGCCTGTAGACAGCCCTCGCCAAGTTGATTCTGGCCTTTTGCCCTCCCGACAAGGAACTTCCCCTGTCGCCAACAACGGTCTGGTCTCCTTGAGGAAACTGTTTGAAGTCTCTGAGGAGAGCGCACGCTTTGACGACTCTCTGGTACCTTTGTCTGTCGTAGGCTTGGCCGAAGAGAATATTCTGTCTGACGGATGATCCGAAAACCCAGGATTCCTGACCTGCATAACTCAAACCGCCCTTGACTCTAATACTTCCCTCTGTAAGTGCGATTTCTTTTAAAATTGCAGACAGCAATGAACTCTTGCCAGCTCCAACCATTCCAATTACCATGTACAATTTTCCGGTTTCGAGTTCTAAATTAATTTTTTCCAAAGTGTTCTCCGATTGGCCGGGTTCCCATTTTGCTGTCACATTATCCAACTTGACTGCCCATGTCTCTGGGGGTTCATCCATTACGCCTATTTTCATAAAACAAATTAATCACAAATTAACAATCATATACATAAGAAAATTATATTTCTAACTAGCAAAATTAAACGCACGCAAGCGCGCCAAATTGAGTATTTAATTGTTTGTTATAAAGAAATTAAAGATTAATATTATCAATAATAATTTAATTTATTAAAATATTATTACATATTATATAATAATAATGAAAATTATATGTTTACAAGCCTCGGATTATACGACTTTTTCCGACTTTTTTCAAAAGTTATCGACTTTTATCGACTTATTTTAATAAAATGCGATATTTTTTTTTTTTACATTTGAAAAGAAAATGTAAATAAAATACATTTTTTTAGTATAAAATGTAGATCTTCTTCAGATCTTCTTCAATTCAATTATTTAAGAAATTTTGAACTAAAATGATTCTTCACTAAATTAATTATTTTTAATAATTGTAATAAAATACATTACAAATTAAATTATATCATAATTATTATTCAATTAAAATTTTTATGAAATTTAACAATTGTTTATAATTAAAAAAAAAATATCACAATAAAATTGAATTATTTTTTAAAAATTTCAATTCAAAATAAACTAAAATTCAATTATTACCCGAAATTTTAATTCAAAATCAATTAAAAATCCAATAATTATCTACAATTTTCAATTTAAAATTTAATTATTTACCAAGTTTTCAATTTAAAATGAAATAAAATTCAATATTTTTCTAAAATTTCTATTCAAAATTAATTATCCAAATTTTCAATCAAAAATGAACTTAAATTAAATTATTATCCAAAATTTCAATTAAAATTCAATTATTTCCCAAAATTTTCAATTCAAAATGAACTGAAATTCAATTATTTTCCAAATTTAAAATCAAATAAAATTTCATTATTCTGAAAAATTTGAATTCAAAATTAATTGAATTTTCAATAATTTGAATTTAAAAGCATCTAAAATTTAATTATTTCTAAAATTTTCCACCGAAAATTTTTTTTTTCTGAAATTTAATAATTTCAATTATAACTCTAAGGAAATTCAATTATTTTTAACTATTTTAATAATATTCTTTGAAAATTCAACTATCTGAAACCATTTTTCAATTAAAAATGATTTGCAAATTATTGTATTTTGTCCGCATTTTCTAATAAATTTTTAGTGAAATCATCTAAAATTTTAATTAAATTGTGTTTTCACACAATTGAATTTTCGAGGAATATTATAAAAATCATTAAAAATAATTAAATTTCGGAAGAGTTATAATTTAAATTATTAAATTTTAGAAAGTTTTAGATGGAAAAAATTAAAAATAATTAAATTTTAAAAGGTTTTATATTAAAATTTTTGTTAATTTCATTTTTAAATTGTAAACAATTGTTAAATTTCATAAAATATTTAATTAAAAAATAGTTTAAGATAATTAAATTTGCGAAGAATTTCATTAAAATTATTAGAAATAATTAATTTAAAGAAAGACTCTAGTTAAAAATTTGTTAAATAATTGAAATGAAAAAGATCTGCATTGTATACTAAAAAATGACGTTTTTTGTTTAAAAATTTTGTAAAAAAATATAATCGAAGTCAAAAAAAGTCGTATTTTGGAAAAAAAAAAGTCCAAAAAAGTCGTATAATCAATCAAAATTTGGATAAATTGAAATTCGGATCATTTAAAACTTAAAATAATGAAAATTTAGATAAATTTAAATTCTGATAATTTGAAATTTAAATCAAATAAAGTTTGGATAATTTTAAACCTAAATCAATTAAAATTCGGAAACTTTGAAACTTAAATCAATCAAAATTTGGATAAATTGAAATTCGGATAGTTTAAAACTTAAATTAATGACAATTTAGATAAATTAAAATGCAGATAATTTAAAATTTGGATAATTTTAAACAGAAACTTTGAAACTTAAATTAATCAAAATTTGGATAAATTAAAATTCGAATAATTTGAAACTTTAATCGATTAAGCTTTAGATAGATTAAAATTTCCTTAGTTTTAAATTATGAGCTAAAAGTTTTGAACGTTCAAATAAACGAAATTTTTTTTTTTTTGCAACTTCTTTAAGTACGAATTTTAATACAAAATATTGTTTTAAATATCTAAAAAGAAGTTATTAATTTAATGATAGTTTAATTTATTGTTTTACTTTAAATGGCTATCATAATTTTTAATAATTGAGTCGCCGGAAAGTAAAACCACACATAAAATTCTGACTCCCATTGAATTAACATGGCCGTCAGAATTTTATGTGTGGTTTTACTTTCCAGCGACTCAATTTATTGATTGAAAAAAATATTTCGTTCATTTGAAGGTTCAAAACTTTTGGCTCATTTTAAATTTCGATTTTTTGAATTTGATTTAAATTTCAATTAATAAATTTGGTTTGACCAATAAAAATTAAAATTGATTAAAAGTTGGATCACTTGGAATTTAAATTGAAATTTAAATTGAATTGAAATTTGGATCGATTAAAATTTCAATCGAATAAAATTTAATGAAAATTTGGAAAACTGTGTAAATTGTGAAAAAGATAACAAATTATCTAACAAAAAAAAATTGTATTGACTTCCGGATATCCTGAAATATCCATTGCCGAGAGAGAGAGAGAGAGAGAAGTTTTAGTTTTTATTTCAAAAATTTTATCTATCAATAGTACTAAAAAAAACGGTTTTTCAAAATAAATTTTTTCAATATTTACCTTCAACGCAATTGGCAGTGTTTTTGAGAAGATCACTGGCAAGCACCAACAATCCATTTTGACTTTTTTTTAAATCGTCGGCAAGATCTTCGTCAATAAATGGGAGATCAGGTTTTATTGAATTTCTCTTATCAGTCTTCTTACTTGTTCCATTGGCATTATAAGATTGATGTAAATGGGGATTCACTTCTTTGAATTCTTCGTACATTAAAAAATATTGCAATCTTCTAACGGCTACCATGCATTCTGCAATTTCTGCAAAACCTCGCACGAACATACCCGACATTGTGTGTGCAAGAACAGCAAAATATGACGAGAAAACAAAAACTTTGTCCGCTGTTAATTGTTCTTTATATAAAAGCATTGCCAGTAATGTTGAAAATAAAGCCATTCTAGTTGTGAAAATATTGAAAGTCATGTAAATTCCACGAATATAAGAGCTTTTTGTGACAATCTTCAATTCCAATTTGCGAGCAATTTCCACCAATGCACAAAATGGCTTTTCCCAAGCGTACATTTTTATCACTTGAACACCCGAGATTATTTCGTCCATAAGTCGTACTCTCTCGTCTGTTTTTATTGCAGTTTGTAGTCTAAAAATTGATGACAATTTTCCGGTGTATGCTGAAATAAATTTGAAAAATTAAAAACATAATCAATTTTTACTTTAAGGATCAAATTATGCCCAAGGAAGTTAGACCAGTAAAGTTAAAATTTTCAAAAAACAAATATTGTGCCCAATTGTGCTCGACTTGTGATCATTTATGTAAAAATTAATTTTTTGAAAAACACAAAATTCCTGGCAAAAAAATTAAACAAAATTTTTAAAATGTTCCAAAAATTAAAATTTTTAAAAAACAAAACTTATACTGAATTGTTCTTGACTTGTGCTTTTTTGTGCACAAATTCATTAAGAAAAAAAAAAAACTCAAAATTTCGGGCGAAAAAAGGAAAAAAAAATTTTTTTTGAATATAGAAAGTTAAAATTTTCTAAAATTCATATATTTCGAAATAAATCTAAATTTTTGACATAAAAATATGTTTTGGCAAATTTTTGAAATTCTGAATTTTGAAAAACCCAGAGAAAATAAATTTAAATTTTTTTAAAAGAAATTCAAATTTTATAAAAGTATTTTCAAGTCGTGAAAAATATGGTAAAAGGCGTAATTTTCATAATAAGAAATTCCAAACTTTAGAAAAAATTTTCTAAACTGAATACAGAATTTAATAAAAATTTAGTATCATTTAGTGAAGAATCAAATATAACCAAATTTTCATGTCACAATTAAACAAAAAAAAAAAAAAATTAGGCACAAGATTTGTTTAATTGAAAATTTTAATTTTAGACGTTTTAAAAATGTTTTTTTTATTTTTTTCCTTGGAATTTTGAATTTTCCAGACAATGAATTTTTGCACAAAAAAAATAAAAAATAAGGTACAATTCAGCACAATATTTGTTACTTGGAAATTTTAACTTCTTATATTTAAAAATATTTTTTTGTGTTTTTTTTTTTTTTGTCCGAAATGTTGAATATTTCGAAAAACCAATTATTTTATGCCCGGAATTTTGAGTTTTTCAGAAACCGAATCTTTGGAAAATTAGAAACAAAATATTTTTTTTCGTACAACTCTTTTGGTTTTTATAACTGAATAACATTTTGAGAACAAAACAAAATTAATTTCAATTTTTTTTTTTGAAATAATAAAAATTTTTGTTCCTTGTGATGATATAATTTTTTTTAATAATAATAATTGGAAAAATTGTTTTTTCGATGCTTTAAAATACGTGTATCTTAAAATGATAATTCCCTGAGAAAAACATATTCTTCGTACGTATAATTTAAACATGTAAATCACTCTTCAAATAAAGGATTACAATTATCTTTATAGAAATAAGCAAATATTTTATGTTCAAACAAATTAGCAAATTACTATATTTGTAGAATGATTTACTCCTTTTTTTGAAAATTTCGTTACTGTATCATTAAAATTGTTTCTATTCTAATGAGAAATAAAAAAAATATAATATAGATAAATTAAAAAAAAAAAAAATTTTTTTAAAGATGATAAGATTAGATAAATTTCTTTTTAGAGCATTACAAGTAAAATTTACTACTCAAATAATAATCATTTGTTTAAAATTTTTTTCAGGATAAAAAAATCTTTTTCTTTAAATGTCAAGCAGAATAATCAATAAAAAAATGTAAAACGATTGTAGATACTTGAAGAAATAGAAATTTTTTTTCTATTATAATTATTATGACGTAAAGGGGGAGACCACTGAAATTTTAACCTATTTAACTTTTCGTTGTTATTAGGCAACATTTTTTTTTCATGATTTAAAAATGTTTTACGTTATCAGAAAATAAAAAATTATATTTTTGACAATTTTAGAAATTTTTCTTTTTATTTGAAAAAATTAATTAGTTAAATTTTACTCATTCGATAGTTAAAAATTTTTTTTGTTTACTATTAATTAGTTAAATTTTACTTATTCAAAAGCAAAAAGTGAATCACTAATTCAAATTACTTAAAATTTTTACTAATTGTAATTTAGAGAGCAATTGTTGAGACTTATAAAAAAAGGGTAAAAAAATATTTGAAATGAAAAATTGGGAAAAAAGTTCCAATTTTTCTTGAATTTTAAGTTTCATTAAAAAATTTTTTGATTAATAAAATATTTTCTAAATTCTCATAACTCAGCATTATTTTATATCCCGAATAAAGTTGAAAAAATAAATTGACATCGTAAAACAAAAAAAAAAATTTCAAAATATTAAAAATTCACTGGTACCTCCCCTTAAATTAAAATTGTTTAATTAAATATTATACATATATATATATGTAGAATTAAAATTTGTTAAACTTAAAGCTAATTTTCCAAACATTATTAAATGCAATATTGTAAAAAAAAAATTACATTGTATTGGTACGACGACAAAAACAGCGGCAATTCCAATAAGTCCAGCATATCCAGCTTGGTAATATAGGAAATATGCAATAATTAAAGCTGAGAGAGGAGCTGACCACATATAATGGATAAAAATTGACACGAGATCAAATCTGTTGACATCGTTTGCGACTAAATTCACTATTTTCCCTGGAGCCGTTTCTCCCAGGGCAGTCTTACTAAGTTTCAATGCCTGCAAAGTAATTAACTAAATAAGTTTATCTATTACATGAATTATAAACATAATAATATTTTAATACATATTTTTTTTTAAACAAACTTTTTTTTTTTTTTCTTATTAAACATACGTGTATAAAACACGTGTAAAAATGTTAACATAAATTTAAAACTATAAATGATTTTGAATTGATCTGTCCTTCAATTTAAATTAACTTTGTGTTATGTTTCATAAAATTTTCTTTGAAATTAAAAGCAATAATTAATATTTTTATTTAGTGTTTGTATTAAATTTTTTCTTTGCTTTTTTTTATTTAGAGAATTAAAAAAAATTAAATATCTTAAATTTAAAAATTAAGTAATTTATTTTTTAAAAAAAAATTATTTTTTATTCATAAATATACTTATAATAGTAATAGTATAGAATATAAATTTAACATTAACTATAGAATTATAATTTTTTCTATTCGACAATCGTTTTGAATGCATTGAATATAAATTGTATATTATTTGACTAATTAATTACCTTTCTATAAACAAGTGAGCAAACAGCAACTCGTATCCTGCCTCCAATATGAAAAGCACCATATATCGATTGATTTAAAGTAATAACATTTATAGCTGAGGCAAGACAAATTCCTCCAGCAAAATAAAGTGCTGTTTGGTAAGGAACATCTGTATTTGGTTTAAAATATTGTAAAAAACCACCTAAAAGCAATGGTGTTCCCAATCTGTAATTTAAAAATAACGAACTCATTTTCAAAAAAACGGAATAACATTCATTATTTATTAAAATATAAAAGGGACACATGATTATGTTCTAAAAATCATTAATTAGAATTTTCATTTTATGGAATTTCATTTGTCATAATTATTTTTAAGCCGAATTTTTATTTATTCGAATTAGTATTTTGCAAAATTTTCATTAAAATGATTTTCTATATTACACAATTTTTATATAACCGAAAATTCACTTCACAGAATTTTTATTTTTTCGAATTTTTATTTGCTCGAATTTTTATTTAACATAATAGGCATTTTAAACAATTTTTATTGGGTAAAATTTCATTGCATAGAATTTTCATTTTATTCTTTCAGTTGAATTTTCATTTGTTCGAATTATTATTTGATATAATTTCCATATAACCGATTTTTCATAGTACAAAATTTTTACTTAACCGAAAAATCATTTATTTAACAGAATTTTTAATTGATAAAATTTTCGTTTTATCCGAATTTGCAAATGTCCGAAGCAACAATCGATTTTGGCGCGAATTTTAAAATCAACCACTCAAAAATTATCCATAAAATTGTGATTGGTTGATTTTAAAAATCGCGCCAAAATCGATTGTTGCTTCGGTCATTTGCAATTTCGGACAAATGAAAATTCTATCAATTAGAAATTCTGTTAAATAATTTTTCGGTTAATTAAAAATTCTGTAGTGTGAAAAATCGGTTATATGGAAATTATATCAAATAATAATAATTCGAACAAATGAAAATTCATCTGAAAAAAAAATTCTATCCAATGAAATTTTACCAAAACAAAAAAAATTAACAAATAAAAATTCGGCTCAAAAATAATCATGACAAATGAAATTCCATAAAATGAAAATTCTAACAATAAGTAATGATTTTTGGAACATAATCATACGTTCCAAGCTATACTAAAAAGCTCAAACTTCTATATTGTAATTTGAAAAAAAAGTAATAAGCGAAATAATTTTTTATAGCGGTCCCACAGACTGCTAAAACAGTTTAAAGGTTAAGATTTTTATTTAATAATGACTAAAAACATAAAAAAAAAAAATGATTTAATTCAAATAATAAATTACTTGACTACTATAAAATAAATATATTATTTTATTTACATTAAATAAACATTATTTGAGTCAATTAATTACTATTTGTTTCAAAATAAAAAAAAATTATTGATTCAAATACAGTTTTATTAAATTTAAATAAAAATTATTTGGTATAATTAAATATTTATTTGATAATTAGTCAAGTGTGTAAAAAGTTGATGATAAATAATACTCGAGTGCAAATGAAATTTTAATATCAAAATTTTTATTTCTACTTTGAAATTTATGAAATATAAAAAATATTCTATTTAATAATATTTAATTACAATTTATATTAATAAATAAATAATTTTCACAAACCTTAAGATAAATTCATTAAATATCTGAAGTATACCAAGAAGAGAATATTCCCATAAAAAAGTTCGAAAAATTGTTTTCAATAAACTTACTTTCTTCTTATGTTTTCTCGCATTTTCTACTTCTATTTTCCATCGACTGAAAAAATATATATTTTATTAAAAAAAAAAAAAAACAATACTTTTGAATTTATAAAATAATATTAATAACAAATATTAACTTTTCTAGTCTGTCCCCAAGAAGGGATGATTTATCTGTTTTTAATGGATCAAATAAATCTTCGGTTCCTAATACTTTTGTATATCCTGTCTTGAAAAGACGTACAGTCCACCTAAAATAGATGACGAATTATTATTATTATTGTTATTATTTTTACTAATTAATTATTATTAAGTAATGCAATATTTTTTTGGTTAACAAAATAATTAAATAATATAAAAAAAATATTAATTAAATATTAAATTATATAAAAAGCAGTTTGCCTTATTTTGATAAAAAAAAATTTTTATTTCTCCGTCCCTTATTATTGCTTTATATGTATATAGACGATAATATTGTCAGTCGATGATATAATTTTCAAAACAATAAAAATCACAATCGGAAGTTATAAACAAGTGTGGGTACTTTTAATCGATCGTAATTTTAATCTGTATTTGATTCCAACGATACTTGGTATATATATAGATAACTGTTATCGTTGAAATCTAACATTCATTAAAATTACGATAGATTTGAGTTACCATGCGTTTACAATTTTTATTCTATCATAAACCGAAGTTTTAGATTTTAGATGAAGTGATCAAGGTGAAAACATTTTTTTTTTTCTCAAATCTTGGCTCAAATTTGGGTAATTTTATTTATGAATGGTAATTGTTCGTAAAATTTTTTTTTCATTTATTTATATTCTAATATTTTTTTTTCTTAATTAAATAAAAAAAAAAATGCTTTCAATTTCAGTCTGAATACTTTTCGATTAGTAAATTGGATTTTTGAAAAAAATATTTTTTTTGACAAAATATGATAATGTCAAAATGTTAAAAAAAAATTTAATTTAAATTACAGTTTAATTTTTCAAATTCCAGTTTTTACTCCCATTGATTTTCTTTTTAAAATAGTGGGACTTTTAATGAGAAATAAATTTTTATTTACCTTTTTTTTACAGAACATAAGATAAAAAATAATTTATTCTGATTTGAAGAATTATTTTAATTAATTAAATTAATTTTTTTTCTGTTTTTTTTTTTTATAAATACATACCACCATAATAAAATTGATAAACATGATGCTTTTTCCCTAGGATTTGGATTCACAGTCGATTTTCTTGCATCCATCTTGTAAATTGTTCATTGATTCGATGCACTTTTTTTTTACATTAATTAACAAATTTATGTAAATAAAAAATATATGTATATATATATATATATATATATTAGAAACAATGAGAGAAAATTGACTTTAAAAAAAATTTAATCGTTTTTATATTACAGTTTTTAATTATAAAAAATTAGTTTTTCAGAGCACCTAAAACAGAAAAAAAATAAGATTGCATTAATTCCATAATGTCTTAATTAAATAAACATAGATAAACACAATTTTATAAGCTAAATAATTAATTAACTTGTTTAATATTTTTTCACTTTACAGACATTGCATATAGCAAAGCAAACGAATAAATCCCAATTTTAACTAAAATGGTATTCAAGTTTCACCACAATATGATAACACTCTTGTCTTAATTACTTTATGAATTACACACTATCTTAAATTGAGAGCTTTTTTCGATGATATTATATGTTCATAAACAAATTTTCACTTTGAGCATTTTGAAAATTATAATATAATTATAATTGAAAGAAAAATTATAATATCATTTTAATTATAAATAATAATTTTCTTTAAAGTTTCATTCAAATTTACATTATTTTATTTATTATAAAATTATATAAACTATATAATATATTACAGTGCTGATAAAAATCATGATTTTTTTTTAATAAAAAAATACAATTTTTTATATTTAAATATGATTTTTTACTTATTTGAATCACATATATTTTTACTTATATGTAACATTTATTAAAAGTGCAATCAGCACGAAAACTTGCAGCAAACTTGCAGGAAGTTTGTCGTGCAAAATTGCAGTGCAAACATGTAGCAAGTTTGGTGCAAGCAACAAAATGTCCTCTTGTGGTAAGGTAGTTAAGCAAGCTTGCAGCAAACTTGCAAAAAGCTTGCTGCAAGCTTGTATAATACTAAAAAAAAAATTTTCGAAACAATTTATTACTAAATAAACATAAAGGGCACTCTGCTTTTGAGGTTAAAAAATTTATTGCGCAGCCGTAGGAGCTTCCGTTTACAACTGCGCATCGTATTAAGTTTTGCAAACTTGCAGCATGCTTGCGCCAACGTTGCCCTGCAAGCTTGCCACAAGAGGACATTTTGTTGCTTGCTACATGTTTGCACTGCAATCTTGCACGTCTTGCAGGGCAAGCTTCTTGCATATTTGCTGCAAGTTTTCGTGTTGATTGGGAAGTGGTTTTAAACGAAAAGAAAACTTTAATAAAAATTATTTTAAACAATTTTAAAAGTTTTATAGTTATACGCTTTTCGGGAAAAATGATGTTGAGATAAAATCTTTTGTAAAATAATAATTTTCTTTATTTTGACTTTTTTCTTTTAGTTTAAACAAAAATCGCAATTATTTTTGTCCAATTTTTATAAACAATAACATATTTTACTCCATGAAACATTCTCGATAATCGTAAACTTTTTTCAGTTGTTAAAAGTATGTTGTTAAAAAACATAAAAATTATGATTTTTGTCTTTTCTAAAAGCAAAAAAGTCTAAATGTTTAAAAAATAATTATTTAAAATAGATTTTAACTATAAAAATAATTTTTATCGAAAAGTATGTATAACCAAACCTTTTAAAATTATTTAAAATTAATTTCTATTAAAGTTTTATTTGCTTTAAAATTCATTTTCAGTTTTGAGGTTATGTAGGGAATAGTGACAAACAGTGGGACACCATTTTTTAAAAGACATTTATTAATATGTCAATTTTACATATTTTTGAACACTTTTTGATATTAACATAAAGTTTGAACTCTTTTCTACACAATAAACATATTCTATTAAGATTATATTGCGATTAAATGGAAAAAATTTTCAAGTTTTTGGAACTTGATACATTTTTCTTGTTTTGAAGGTTAATGTTCAACAGTGGGACACCTATTATATTAAATACCGAATAATTAATTCAATAATAATATTCTGCTTCATACTTTGTAAATATATTTTTTTTGCATTTAAAAACGTTAACATATATGTTGCAAAACACTCATAATTTAATAATATATTACAATTTTATAATACCATGTCAAGTTTCATATAAAAAAATGGCTATTATTTTATTTTCACATTTACAGTACTGCTGATCATACGTCATAACTTGGTCATAACCTAAAAATAATTTCGCACGAAATTTGAATAATCGTTCTCTTACCAAGTGTTACTTTTTAAAATTTGTCGAACAATAATTGTAATAATTATTAATTATAAATTTTGAATTTTTTATTGTTTTTTAGTTATAAAAAAAACTTCAATTTTTACCTTTCCCAGTGTTGAGTGTCCCAGTGTTAAAAACATACAATTACAAGAAATTATTTAAATAAAAATTGTTTATGGAATTTTAAAATATTTTAAATTATTGGATATTATATTCCCAAATAGCACAACTATTTACAGCAATTTTGCAGCAAGTTTGCAATGCCAAGTTTGCAAAATTGCACTGCAAAATTGTTGCAAATTTGTGTCAAATAGCGATATGTCCTCCCTTTTCCATCTTTGCATTATAAGTTTGCAGAAAAATTTTTCAGAAAGTTTGCAGAAAAATTTCTTAGGTAGTTTGCAGAAAAATTTCTTAGGAAGTTTGCAGAAAATTTTTATGTCAAACTTGAAGAAAGTTGCTAATTATTTGCTCAAGTTCATGTCATGCGCAGTAGTTATCTATGGCACCTAGGGCTGCGCAATAGATTTTAGTAGCCTTTTCCACAGCAAAGTTATCCAGTAACAAAATATTATCATATTTACAACTCAAAAATTTAAAAATTTTTTTCTAAAAATTTCTGCAAGTTTTCTTCAAGTTTGACATAAAAATTTTCTGCAAACTTCCTAAGAAATTTTTCTGCAAACTTCCTAAAAATTTTTCTGCAAACTACCAAAGAAATTTTTCTGCAAAACTTTCTGAAAAATTTTCCTGCAAACTTATAATGCAAAGTTGGAAAAGGGAGGACATATCGCTATTTGCCACAAATTTGCAGCAATTTTGCAATGCAATTTTGCAAACTTGGCATTGCAAACTTGCTGCAAAATTGCTGTAAATAGTTGTGCTATTTGGGTTTAAAAGCATAAGTAAACGAAGTATCAAGTAAACTTTTTTTTAAAACTATCCTATCTGGGTAAAAATTATCATAATGTGTTGTCATAAACATGGTTTACATTTAAATTTTGATCAAGTTTCTTTAAGGGTATGTGGGCAAAGGACGTTTTTTTGGGGTTTGAAATTTTCTCTGAAATAAAAAATGATTTCAGATTAAAATTTTGGAGAAATAATTTAGTTTAGTACAAGGAATCTCGCTGTTCTATTCATTTACCATAACTTAACGCAAAAATAATAAAAATAAAGCAAAAAATAGTAAAATAATGTATTACATCATAGTTCATTCAGCGGCCACTTGCTCAAATTGGCGCTGTTTACTGGAGCACTGACACACTCAAGCAATGTCTGTGTATGCGCCGCCATGTTTCTTTTCATTTTCGTTTAAAAATCACACTTTTTAAACTTCATTTTTTAATAATTTAACGCAAAATTATGTATTTTTCGGAGAACAGCAAGATTCCTTGTACCCTAATCTATCATCCCTCAAAATTTTAGACAAAAATCTTTTTTCATTTTAAAGTAAGATGTATACTACAAAAACACATTTTCCCATACTAGGTCACGTGGGAGGTTTCCACATACCCTTAAGTAGATTTTCAGAAAATTAAAGTGTCCCACTGTAAAAACTGTCCTACTGTTTGTCACTCTCCCCTATTTAAATACTAATTTAAATTTTAAAAAAAGTCGCCATATTTTGCCTCATATTCATAAATAAATGTTTTATTTATACCTGTTGTAACCGCGAATATTTCCCCTCCCGCTATACTTTATGTATTATACACAATTATTAAATTATTAATACTTTTGTCTTTATGACTGGTGACTGACATTTAGGTGATTAAATCATTCAAAACAAGTATCATCGCCACTTCACTTATTTATCTGATGATAAAAAATTGCAATTAATACCTGAGAAATAATGATAAGAATTTATTTCATCATTTTCTTTTATATATACTTACTGAAGTGAAAAAACTATCTATGTAACTAACTAAAATTAAAATTTTAAACAATTCTAGTGCATAATAACAATTTTGATATTTTATTCACTTATTTTATTATTTTCTAAAAAATAAAATGCAACAATTTGCAAAAAAATATATAAACATTAATAAATATTGCAATCATATGGCAATATTGAATCATATCATTGTTAAATATGTGCTTTATATATCACATTATTGTTTTAATTACCTAAACAATTTCTATTTTAAGAAATAAATGTTTGTTATAACTTTCTTATTAAAAAAAAAAAAAAATGGAAAATATTTTTTTTTATAAAATTGTATTCAATATAATATTAAAACATTAATTTATAAAGTACCATAAGTGTTTAAAGTTTAAGCAAAATAGTATTTTTTTTTTAATTGAAATCTTAACATGTAATTTCTCAAGAGAGACTTTATGCCAGTCATTTAAAATGATTCAGCGTTTTCCTTATCCGATTTTATTGAAATAAATCATTACATTCGTTTGAATGCATTTGTTGAACTTACATATATTGTTAGAAACAAGATTATACTTAGAATGTTTTTTGTTCTCAGAAACAATATCAGTAACTATTGTTGCATTTTTTTTTTTGAAAATTTTTATTTGTCACAAAATTTTATTATAATAATTAATTTGTTATATTATAGAAAATTATTGGAATTAATTATATAACATTGAAAATTAATTAACTTATGGAGTTAAATATTTTTTTGTTTGACTTTTTCGCTTTTTAATATATAATAATAATGATAATAATGCAATGAGTAACAAAATTATTTTTCTTTATATAAAAAATTTGTATGTCAAAATTTATGATAATAGTTTTATTTAATTTTAATAAAATAACAATGAAAAAAAATTTTAACTAAGATTAATGTTTTACATTACTTCTACAAATATTAAAATCTTTATTAAAAAAAAAAAAAATTTGAACAAATTAAGAGAATAAATAATAAACTATTTATCCAGTTACAGTAGGTATTTCATTGAATATCTAAAAATAACGATAGATACACAACAAGATAATAATTATACGCCAACACTAAACAAAAGAGAATTATATATATATATATGTTTTACGCATACAATAT